ATTTGGTTTTTCACCCAAGCTTATCTACATAGCACATGGTAATTAAAAGTATGGTTTTTCACCCAAGCTTATCTACATAGCACATGGTAATTAAAAGTACCATACTGGTGGAACTAAACGTATTGGATGTTTAACAGCCATAGTTTGAGGGCTATACTGATCTGGTCAGAGGGACTTAAAGGGCAGTTTTGCCCCTTCCCCTCCAAGGTTGATTAAGTTCCAGGGGACTATGGAACATCTCTCAAAATGTCCTGTAATTGTGGTGAGTCACCTATCCTCTTGTCCAGGGAGGACATGGAGATCCCATGAGATGGATTTGAACCAGTGTCCAGTCTACAAAGAGGAGGGTCAACTCAGAGGAAACATCCATGCTTCCAAGTGAAGCCAGACATGGTCGAGCAGGACCTTTGACTTATCTTCACATAGATGGAACTGGTAAAAGAAAGGAGCCAGGAGCACCTCCCAAACCCATGTGACCCCTGAGGAACAGATCCTCAAATGACCTTAAATATAAAAATAAATGATTTATTTGGGCCAACTATATGGTCTTAAACACCCAAAAGGAAAGTATAACCAAAGAATAAAGTCCTCAGTATAGATCTTTAAGCACTCAAGGGATTACACTTCCCAGACATTAGGCATAAGTCCATATAAACAGTTATATAGACAATTACTTCTCATTAATGATTCTATTCCTAATCAGAAAGTGCTGCTCAGATGTAAGACTTCAAATCTTGGTCTCTAATACTGTAGAACCCACCTGTAGCTAAGGGAGACAACCAGCTATTGTTCTAAAATGACAGATAAATTTGTTTTCTCCCCCTATCTAGAAGCTTTTGAAGAGGGAACTGACATTAATTCTAACCACCCCAACAGCTATCAAAATACATGAAAGCAAATCCTGAATCCATCACTCTTGAGTCCAGGCTTGGCAGACAAAAGACAAATGAGGAGGAACCCAATGGAGGAATGTTTTGGAAGCTCTCATCAAAAAATTCCAATGGACTCTCATATGAACATATGAAAATTGCCCTGTTCTTTTTTTTGTTTGTTTTTTTGTTTAGAACTTGTAATGCTAATTACTGTTGCCTTTACTTCTCCTTCACACACAAAAAAATTAAAAATAAAAAAAGTTGTACAATTTGGGAGTCTTTTAGATAGACCCACTGAAGGGGTACTCCAATTGCCTCACCCTGCATCCCTGTTCAGCATGGAAGAAGCCAGAGTGGTCTGCATCCCAATTCCCTATCCCAAGCTGGGTAACCTCTTCGGAGGATGGTGTGATAAGAATGGGAGGTAGGAATTGGCTAGACAGTTAGGGTAAAAAGACACCAAAGAAAAGTAGCCAGTTTCTTGGCACATAGCTGAGATCCAATAAAATTGTTGAATGAACAAAAGCCTCAAGCACTGGCTAATCATAGATTCTAAGCAATGTTACTCAATCAGAAAAAAAAAAGTGTAAAATACATAATACATTGATTCAAAAGTTTTTTTTTCCGATACCAGGAGTTATCCATAGCTATAAGAAAGCATAAATAATCAAAGTGACCAACTATTAATGAAATGTGTATTAAGAGAATGTGTAGTTATATACAATTACTAAAACATCTAAAACTGTTTCTCCCCTCTAAACCATACCCAGGAAGAACTAGAAACAGGGAGAGGTAGAAGACGGTAAGACATCTTTGGGGTCTATCACTATTAGTGGATATGGTGGTTCTGTCTTCCTGAAAAGCCACCAGTAAGATTTAACAAGCTCTACAAAACAGCTCATAGTTTGCAAATACAGCCTTGCTCCTCATTATGAAATTATACCCCAAGGAAATGGATGAGCAAAAAGGGAAATAAAGAAACACAGGTACATGGCCTAATGGTAACAATAGTAATGAAAACCTGGAACCACTTCAAATGACCAGCAATAGGATTGAGCAAACCTTAGAATGCCAACATTGGGCTTTTCAGTCATTAAAAAAATGCAGGAGTAGATGCAGCTCAGTGGTAGAGCACCTACCCAGCATGTATGAGGACCTAGGTTCCAGCTCCAGCTCGCCCTGCCCCCTGAAAGTACATGGATTCCACTGACACTTTACACACACACACACACACACACACACACATACACACACACACACACACGGGCGTGCACGCATGTGTGTATATTAGTTCCATATTTCAAGAAAGAGAAGATACTCAAACTCTAATTCTGACTATGTTAAAAGGGCTGCACATATTAAGCAAAGACATAAATGGAGAGGGCTACAAAGTTTCACCCAAAGTAAATCTATTCAAATGACCTGTGTCTGTGAAACCTGAATGCTCTGGACCTGTGGAAGCAGAAAAGAAGCATTCGGCAGCTGCTCTGCAGACCCTTCAGTAGACATTCTTCGAATGCCAATTCCAGACACCTGCAGAAAAAAAGAAATACTCCTCCGTTAGATATTTAAAACCCATTTTCCATAATGCTAAAATGTTTTCTCAAAGGAAATCCACATTCACCTATTAATCTAACTATATTTATCTGTCTCCCAAATAATCTTAAGTATTCCTTATAATGCAAAACTCTTTGATGTGGGACCAATGTGCTTAATGGAATGAGAATTAAGCACAAACACAACTGATTCTGACACTTAAATTACTTAGTGTCACATCCTATTCAAGATGTCCCAGGTACAGTACTTAGGTTGTGGCCCCTAACTGTTTTTGTGAACACCAACAACACAATCTTTCACGTTCCCTTCCCAGCAGCTTGATATGAACAACGATGTGAATGGGGAGCTCCCTCGAGATGGAGATGAACCTCCAAACATATCCCAGGGTCTCCTGACCAGAAATATTTCTGAATCAGAGGAGGCAGGCAGAATCATCAGAGTAGTCCTCAGATCACCCTCCTCATCTATTTGGGAGGTGAGCGCCTGCTCTATTTTATTGTAGAGAGCTGTGTACAGTAGATAGCTTTGTTCATTCTAGTACACTTCAAAGACTCAGGCATTACAGCCCTGCAGTCTGTGGGGAGGACAGCCAACTGTGCACATGGAGCAGAGGGGTGGCAGTTGATGGATTTAATATCATTATAGGCTTACATTATAATGACACCAACAGGTGGAAAATTTTCCAAGTTCCTCTAAGCCAACAACCAAGTTATATGGCAAAAGAAGTCACTTACATGATAGGAAAGGACTCCATGTGAAGAGGTATTAATAAATAAAGAGCTTTCAATGCTTCCTTCTTGTGTAGGTAAGAAAATAATTCTGAAGGAAGTTTTCCCCATTGCTGGAATTACCTGAAAGAAATGTACCTAGTTAGAAACTTAGAATGGCTTTTGCAGACTTTCTTTTTGACCATTTCCGAAAATCAATATTTGCACATCTTGTACCCTTTAACAGTGTCATGAAGCTCTGAGTCTCTCAAAATGACCAGCATCTAAGAACATACTGCTAACTCATGGCAAAATAACTCTCAAGTCCTTCACTTCAGACTACTGTGGCTCTCATCTTTCTACCCTCTCTTCACACCCACCTGTTCAGTTCTGTCTCTATTTAAATACAGAGAATGATCAATGTGCAATCATTGATGTGTAATAAAAACCAAGGACAGTGTTTATCTGTATAAGCCAAACCAAACATAAACCAATGTTGAAGGGTTTCTCCTTTAACATGTCTTTGGTACCAGTAATTTGTGAAAACTGTAATAACAATCACATAAGTAAGCAAAATAAGAAAAAGCTTGAAAAAGTTAAAAGGCTACTCAAAAATTAATGGAAGGCTAAAGTTTGCAGGTCTGTTGTAATGCAAATTAACTTTAAACTTTTATTTATTTATTTGTATTTTTTTATGTGTATGAGTGTTTTGCCTGCAGGTATTTAAGTACATTCATGTCATGCAATGGCCATGGAGGTCAGAACAGAGTGTTGGATCCCCCGGGCCTGGAGTCAAGGATGGTTGTTAGCCGCCATGTGAGTGTTGGGAATCAACCCTGGGTCTTCTGCAAAAACAGCCAATGCTTTTAGCTGCTGTGCCATCTTTCCAGCCCCAATGCAAGTTAATTTTAAAAGAAGCATTCACTCCCAATGATTCCCAGCTTTCTAGTTAAGTTTGAGAGATGCAAGAAGGCACGGCTGTAACCCCAGTGTTAGTAGCTGGATGCCTCAGTACCCACAGCTATCTTAAGGTCAGTAATACAAACTTTTTCTAATGAAGATAATGCCATATTAAATATACATACATTACAAATAGTTTCTTTAAACATTTTTTTTCCTATTGGGAGGTATCTAAGAACCACTGAAATTAAGAAGGTAAACAGTGAAAAAGTACCTACCAAAGTAAGCAGAAGTGAGAAACATGGGTATCAGGAAAAAGGAAGATGAAGCGAAAGTTCAAACCCAAGGCCTCATCCACAGTGCACACTGACACTCACCCTGCAATGGACAGGAGGCACATGAAAATGTCTAGCAGCTGTGAACACCGAGTTCACCACAACCTCACTGTCTCTGTTGGGGTTATACACATAGAGAAGCTTTGCTGCAGGATGTCCCAGGAACCTGAGCAGGATAAAAGAGAGGAACTTTGTGGATATGGAAATTACTGTGTGTGCATGCACACACAAACACACACAAGCATTGACTTACACATGTGTATACACACATGCACTATTGTTGTGGCACTGATTGAACCCAGTGTCATGCGTACAAAACACACACTCTTATCACTGAGCTACACCTCTAATCCACATATTTTTAAACCAGAAAGTTATCGATGTTCATCATAAAGTTTAAAAAGAACATATTGCACAGCACTATCCTTTGAGCCAAATAGCCACTATCTTCATGAGTTCAGCTGTGCCTGCTTGCAAAAGGCCATCACAGCTGAACTTGTTAACTGGTGACATTCCCTCAGAGAAGAAGGGGTGCAGAGGGTCACTGGACCCTCACTTGAGAATTCTGCCACTCCCAGCCAGTTGTATGCAATTTTGCTCTAACTGCACACAGCCAACAGGAAGGGCTAGACTACACAGGCTAGGGAGGACTAAAAAAGGGTACCACCTACACAGCCATGGAGGAGTTCTTGTCCATGCTGCATGAGAACTTTCCAGTGCAGCTACTTTGGGGTCACTCACAGTCCTATCAGTAACCTCTCACCCATGCTCTATAAGAACCCATTGGTTCCCCAGGTGAAGAACTGGTGGACTCAAACTTTGGTTTGTCATTGGGACCTTAGAAGAAGGGAGATCAAGCTCAGAATTGCCTAGTCCCCACACAGTGAAAATTCTCAAGACAGAAATATTATCAAATCTTGTTGGTTTTAAGCATTTAATACATAACAGTAAAAAAAAAAAAACCCACTATTTTTATAAGATTTACACCAATCTATTAGCATCCCATTTGTTTTATGTTGTAAGAATTCAACCCGTCTAGTTTATTAAATGCTTTTTTAAGAAAAATAAACATACTGCCAAGTATGGTGGTGCACACCTTTAATTCCAGCGCTCAGGAGACAAAGGCAGGAGAATCTCTGTGAGTTCCAGGCTAGCCTGGTCTACAGTGAGACCCTGTCTCCAAAAGATCAAAAAAAAATTAAAAATAAACATACTTTTTGCATGCACTAGATTTCTCTGTCTGAAGGAGACTATAAATGAAGATGTATTTAGATAAGAAACTGTATTTGTCATTCAAGCAGCTCTGAGCCCACTGGCAGCAGTAAATACTCAAATGGTAGTCATACGAAGAAATGGTATGATCATGTCAGAAGCCTTGGAATGAGTATAAAAAGGCTAGCTATGCAGCACAGAAATCCAGATCCCCTCTCCAAATGATGTGCTTTAATTTGCTCTAAAAATTAGGTTGCATATATTATCATATTTTGCTTTTTGCAGAATCAATTTTTGTAATATTTGAAAGAAGGGAGGGAAGAGGAGGGGGCATTTTCACAGGGCTCTGTTATGGGAGAGTATTCAAGATGCTGAGGCAAGAGTATCACTAATTCTAGGCCAGCCTGAGCTACAAGGGAAAACCCAGTCTCAAAAAAGAATAAAACAAGATAATTTAAAAAAAAAATCTGTACAGGTATGAGGTTTTACATGTAATCTGCACACTTTCCACCAACCTCCTAGTGTTGACTGACCTCCACAGCAAATACACTAAGCTACAAAGGCTGTAACATAGGCTTCAGCTCTAACAAGGGTACCACAAGAGGACAGGAGCTAGCCTCCAACCCACCTATCTGCAACAGCTCCCGGAATCATTTCATTCTGAATCCTACTGTCCAACATTAAATTTGTTCTAGTTCAATTAGGCTGCATGAGAGCCTGCAATAATTCCATTATAGTCATAACTGACATGTCTTCATCTTGCTCCAAAATAAACCTATATTCCAATTTAAGCAAAATCCTCATATTTGTTATACTGATATTTCTCTAACTGTATGTTATTTATTCTAGCAGGAGGATCATGAGTTTGAAGACCAGACTACATACATAGCAAGTCCTAGGCCAGCTTGCGGTAATTTAGTCAAACTGCCTCAAAAAGGAAATAGTACACTTTAGTAAAAATGAAATGTATGTTGTTTCTCTCATATACAATTTGATTTCTAGAATACTGTATCATACATAGAAATCTTGTTCAAGCTTTCATTCCTACTTATTAGTACTCATCTTAATGAAAGATTTAATATATCCAATGTGTATTCTAAATTGTAAGTCTTTAAAAACTTCACTTATTAATAAAATACACATCAAGGTGAATAAATCCTTGATTCTCTTAGTGTTTTAAAATAATACAATTTATTTATTTCATTAATTTTATTTATGTATATGTGTGACGGAGTGTATGCCATATTATGGGTGCCCATGGAGGTCTGAAGAGGATGTAAGATCCCCTAGAACAGGAGTTACAAGCAACGTGTGGGCTAGGAACTCAAAGAGCAGCAAACTCTTAACCACCAAGCCATTTCTCTAGCCCCAAAATAATACCATTAAAAAATTATTTTACATCATCATAAACATAAAGGGTCACCTAAGAAGCCCTACCTCAGAGAACTGAGCTTATGTGTGCCTTTCTTCCCACAACCAAATGAATAAGGGCTTCTGCGGCTTTAAGTAAATGGTATCACTCAATCAGCAAAGTTAGTTAAACTTATCCCCAAAGCTTTACATACTGTTTACATAATTGAACATAAGAGTTCTGGTTTCAAAGAACACAAATGTCTACCAGAGAATCACAAAAGGAAAGACTGCCAAGAGCAGACCTCCACAGCAGAGCGCCACAGCCACCGCCACCGGTGGTTTCTCAACAGACAGAGAAACCCTTCCCACTACTGTTTTTATTCTACTTTTAAAAAATCTATTTTTAAATATGTTAAAAGGATATGGATTTCTTTCACTAGGAACAACTGGAAGATAATCTATTAACTTAATATGATAAAGAATGATTAACATTTCTTATGAATGTTAAAAATTAGCACTTTTAGTGTTAGAAACCAGAATGGTAACCCTTAAAGTAAGCCCCCAGGGGCAGGAAGAAAACAGTGACGTGACCTTGATTCTGCAACTGAAAGTGAAATTAGAGTTAGGATAAAGGATATAGTTTGTCCAAGGTCAGTATTAAAATAAATAAAAGTTGAACCAGGGCAATGAATAAAGTATTCGAAGGACCATAAATTAGGCAATTTAGTGGAACTGAAGAAAAACACAACTAATTTTAAATGTGTTATAATCTAGAGTAAAGCTTCATTTTGAAGGTCTTGTAAAACTTTAAGAAAATGAAGTATTCCCACAACCATATAGTCTGCATCTTACTACTATGAGAAACAGTATAATAAGTGATGGCTTAGAAATCAGAAGATTATTATATACCTCTACTTACAGTGAAAGGACCTGAATCAAACTGTAGTACTTCTCAGCGACAAATGTATGAATGTCTGTGGCACATGCTCAAGTACAGAGATGTTTGGAAAATAAGATGCACGTGCTCAGATAATGCCTGATTCATTCTCAAAGGACTCATCTAAACTCAAATGAAGCTGATCACAGTGCTGCACCTTGGATAATCCGAGCATTCCAGAAACAAAGCCAGGATGTTTACTACAGTTTGAGGTCCATCTGGTCTACACAGCCAGTTCCAGGCCAGCCAGGGCTTACATAGTGAGACCCTGCCTCAAAACAAAACAAAGCAACATAATACAACTCAAATGACAAGAAACATGTTTACACACTGAAAACTATAAAGTACTACATAAACATAATTGAATCTTCTGAATGTGTTCCAAGTCTAAAAACTGGTAACCTTTTTAAATCAAAAAGTCTTTAAATATTCTGTCAATACGCTTTTTAGCTAACAGGGCCTGCAATTAATGCATACAGCTAACTAACACAAATGTAGCACTCACACACACGCACTGATTATAGTATTTTAAGTTCAAGAAGAGTAAATGTATTAGACGACCAGGATTCTACTAACTGGAATCATTTCCTATTCTGGCTACACTTCACACCATCCATCTCATTAAACTACCAATCTATGACACTCTCTCTAAAGGAGCCCTACACACACACATACACACACACACACACACACACACACACACACACACACACACATCTGGCACTCAGCATTAATCCCAACACTCGGGAGGCAGAGGCAGGTGGATCTCTGTGAGTTTGAGGCCAGCCTGGTCTACATAGTGAGTTCCAGTGCCAGCCGGGGCTACATAGTAAGACCCTGTCTCAAAAAATCAAATAAAAAACACTTTATGCAAAGTATTCCCTCAGACTTGAAATCAGTGAAATTATGAGTCATCTAATTTATAATATCAGTTAAATGATTATGAATTTGGCTTTTAATAAATTTCTTTACCTAAGAATAAAAATACAATAATTCAAAAATAAAACACAGTGGTGGGGCATGGTGGTGCATGCCTTTAACCCCAGCACTCATGAGGCAGAGACAGGCAGCAAACGCTGTGAGTTCCAAGCTAGCCTGAGTCTATGTAGCAAATTCCAGGTCAGCCAGAACTACACAGTGAAACCTTGTCTCAAATAAATAAGAAAATAAAATAAATAAAAATAAAGCAGACACCTAGAATCTGCTAAAGTCAGCAAACTGCCTTCACAATTTTATCTCTTTCTCCTTTAAAGAGAGAAAAAAAAAAAAAAAAAAAAAAAAAAGCACAGCAAAGTATTTCATTTTCAGGTCCGTTCTTCCCTGCATCTCTAACTTTCGCGTGCTCAGGACATGAAAAGGACAGATGAATACAGAAAGACCCTGTGGTCCCAGTATTCTTCCATCACCATGTAATTTCACCCTCCTACTTTGCTTGGAATTCATCAAAGCTCTTCCTAAAACTAAAAGGATGGGTCCCTGAGTCTAAATGGACTAATTCGAAGTTGTATCATTTTGAGGCTACTGTACTCTGCATCCTGAGAGGTTAGTAACACTTTTGAAGTTTTGAACTGCATCACAGAGAGGAGTTCTAAGCTGCCTCCTCTCCATAGCTTCCTCCTCCTCTTCCTTAATTTCTCCAAATTCTCAGATGTGATCCTGAGGTCAGGGTTCCTTTCTTTCATGGTCCTTTCACCTTATCTCCTGTTTCTCACCTAAGGGTCACAGTTAACCCTAATAACTGTCAAGCTGTGAGACCTAAAGGCACACTAGAAAGAGGAAAACAACTGTGCTCCAGAATCTAGCCTAGAAAAATTCAGAACCCATCAGTACTCAATCCAACTTGTTCCAGAAAAACAAAGATTTAAAACTGACTTACTAAATTCTGATCACCATGAAACAATACAAAGGCATGTTATGAAATAACTAAAGGAGGGCTTAAGGTACAGCTCAGTAGTAAACCACATGCCTGACATGGACAAGACCATGAAGTCAATCCTGCAAAACAAATGAACCAACAACAATAAAAAGTTAGGAGGGCTTAAAAGAACTTTTATACTTTCCCTTTTGTGAAACAATTTCTTTAACAAATCCCATGATCAATATCCCTTCACATTATTAACATACATACACTATATTCTTTATGAACATAGCATCATATAAAAGATATGCTGACGATAAATACAAAAAAATTATAGTAAAAAGATACTCACTGCATTCCAAAATCTAGAACTGATGGCTGAAAATGTAAGCCTTTTCCACTAAATAGTTTCTCAGAGAAGCTAAAAGAGAAAGAGAGAAAGATTAATTTTGTATAGTTTTAAAATTTAGATGTTAAAACCATGAACTTAAGCCAATGACTGTAAATGATTGAGATAAAATCTTACTCCCTTATCGATGAATCTGGAGTAGATTTTTAATGTTGAAACTGAATCAGACATCTAGTATAATTCTAGAGTTGCAAAAATTTAGAATATTCTTGGTACAATTATATAATGCATATCAAATATATAGATCTTGTCAGCATTCAGACAGAAATGGAGACAGATTTAACTGTTAGTCAGCTCCTTTCTGTATGAAATCAGGTACCTGGGCTATTTTCAATACCCTAAATCAAAATAGTGCATATATCTAAGGTGGGTTTCAGAAAACCTTGGCTGCTAAACTTGTTAGACTAGTTAACAGGGGAAGGCCAATGTAGCATGGCCACAGTAACTCTTAAAAGCAGTTACCTGGATTTTGTTTGTTTAATGTAATTTGCTTTAGAGACAGAGGCTAACTTTGTAGTCCCGGCTAGACTGGGAACTCACTACACAATCCAAACTGGCCTCAAACTCATGGTAATCCTCTGGCCTCAGGATTAAAGTGCTGAGATTATGGATGTGAGCTATCATGCATGGTATAGAATTTAGTTTTTTATTTATCATTTTTATTTTATGTGTGTTTTGCCTGCATGTAAGTGTACCATGTGTGTGCAGTGCCCAGAGAGGCCAGAAAAGGGTGTTGGATCCCCTGGAACTAGAGTTACAGACAATTTTAGATGCCATATGGGTGCTGGAAACCAAACCCAGGTCCTCTGCAAGAGCAGCCAGTGCTCTTAATGGCTGAGCTATCCCTCCAGCCTCCATGGTACAGATTTTTAAGAATAAGAATCACATAAAATCTCACTGGCAAGTCAAATTTTTAGCACTTATTATTCATTATTATAATCTCACTTCCCTTTAAAGTCAAAGGCCACAAATTAATACAGCAGAAAAACATACCGAAAAAAGGAAATGAAAACGTAAGACATAATATATAAACATATTTATAAGCATTTTAGACTGACAGGTTAGACAGAGAAGATAGAACAATCAATTGCCCTATGTCATCTTTAAAGTTACATAATCCAAAAATAACTTAAATTGGAGAAGCTCCTTAAAGGAAGATGCATTACTTTCAAAAACTCAAAGTCACTTTCGGTAACATAATCTTCCCATTTTCTCCTCCCAACAATTATCCCCCATGAAGCTGGGTCAGCCATGGACATCTGAAGTTTAAGACTGCCAGCTAACAAGAAATTTGGTGGCCTTAAGCAAGTCTCTCTCCAAGGTCCAATTTTTCTTGAAGGTACTTGCAGAGAAGCCAGAGAACCAATTCCACGGTCCTCATTCATTCCCTGAAAGTTCCAGCTGTAGGCTTTTCTTCTGCTGGTTACAGAAGCCAAAAAGCCTCTTGAAGAGAAACCGGTCAAGAGAATGAACTCTCTGGCCTGAATGATGACCCAACTTTCCAGTACTGCTGAGCTCAATCACCTGGTCACTGGTCCACCCCAGGAAGGCGGGTTCATCTTAAGTCAAACTGAAGAGATGGCAGAATACCTGGTGTGTTAATGAGAGGTGAACTTTCCTGCCTGGAATCCCCACCTCTTAGTGCAGTGCTTCTTTCCAGACAAGGCCACAGACCCGAGGCTCTCTCTGTAAGTCTGCCTGTAATCTCTCCTTTCTGTCTTCTTACCACTGTTCTAAATACGCTTTCCCTAATGATTTGAGCTGCTCCAAATCTTGGATTTCTGACCTCTGTGCTGGCTCTGAACTGCTTGGCTTTATGGCTTTTCCTTCTCCCTCCATTTTCCTCCTAAAGGCAGCTGCTGAGTTTTGCAGTTCACCTCCCCTGGGGATTTTTCTTTAAATTCTAATAAAATTGTCCTAGAGCTTCCTTTTTAATCCATTCTTAAGTTCTTTTCTAAATGAGACTTCTTCTGTCTGAATCTAAGCATCCTTCCTCTAATCCTTTCTCCTAAAAAGCCCTTTCTTGGTTAGGATCTATCTGAGTCTCCATCCTGTCTCCATCATTTGGGTTAACAATAAAGGTGACATCAGTCTCATCTACATAACTCTTCTCAACTTCTCCACCCACTTGGAGAGTGGACACAGAGGAGGTGTGCCGCTTAGTGGACTTCCTCAAACCCCCAAAGTCCAGCACTAATGCCTTGACTCTTGCAAAGGCCACTAGTGGTCTCAGCTGCCTCCACACAGATGTGAAGAGCCTCGGGGGGGGGGGGGGGTCCACCGTGGGCACTTAGAAGAAAAGAAAAAAAAAAGAAGCCTTAGAAAGGCCAGGGTACTACATTAATAATGAGCAAAAACAATCAATGACAGTTCTTTCCTGTTTTGTGCACAGAGAAGTGAATCTACCATCAGGTTTCACACATAGTTTCCGAGTGGACAGATGAAGCCTGGAAGATTTAAGCAACTCACCAAGGTCAGAGAGTACTAAAGAGGCCCAGCCAACTTCCACCTCAGATCTGTGGTAGCTGGAAGCAAGAACACTATCGAGTTCAAGCACCTCATACCCAATCCAGGGAACAGACTCAGCCTAGCCTACTAGGTGACAGTCGGGGCTACAGAGGCCTGACAAACCTGATTCCAGGCCCATGGCCGTCACTTTCCTTCCTAAGTGGGTCAATAGCTTAACTTCTGCTAGTCCTTGCCTTATTCTCTATAAAATGCAGGTGAAAGCTGTACTCAGCTCACAGTTGTTGTGAGGATAAAATAAGAGGACGATGCCTTTGCTTCGTGCCTGCACACAGTAGAAAGCAATAACCGCAGGATCACATTACAAAGGATGACATTCATCTAACAAGAAAAGCAACAGGGACAGATGGAGAGGCAGTTAGGGCTCAACGTCCAAGCTGCCCTCTGGACTGAGACAGTCTCTAGCAGTCTTCTGGGACTTCTATGAATAGAACAAATGAAACACAGACCTGGACCATCTCCTGTCATAACAGATTTTCAAATCCCATAATCAGGAAGTTTCCTGTATGTAACAAAGATCAGACATTTAGGGACAAATGTAAAGTAATATAGTAGATAACCTGAATTTCTCTAACTTTCAATGGAAAAATAAAATCCCATCTGCGTTTTTCCCTTAAAGTCACAGAACAGATTCCTTTACCTCACTAGATTTTACTTCCCTGACTTGATAATTTAGAAAATATGTCGTTATATGCAAGTTCAACATCATTAAGTTAAAATAATTAGGTCTCACAGATAAAACCACTTAAAAGGCAATATTGACCAGACAGTCTGCACGCATGCCCTCAGACAGCTGTAAGACACAGGGGGAAGTGATATCACAATGCCCTCCCTAGGACAGGCCCCACCACCTACAATTTCTCTTCCCCAAAACAGTTCTTAGAAACTATTCTTTCCCAATCCTTCTCTTTTAGTCCTTTGTCATATTCTTTATAATAAAACAGTAAACAAGTGTTTTTCTGACTTCTGTGAGCTCATCCAGCCAATTCCTCAACCCTGGAGGGTTGTGGGAGCCCCAATTTACAGTTGGTAGTCAGAAGCACAGGTAAAATAACCAGGGTTTGTTGCTTGGCATCTAAAGGGAGAAGGCTCAGGGACTGAGCCCTTGGTCTGTAGGATCTGATGCTAGGTAGACAGTGTCAGGTCTGAACTGAATCAGAGGACCCCAGAGCTAGTACCTACTGCAGAACTAAGTACTGCTTGTTGATGGGGACAAATCCCTACTCTTCCAGGGAACACAGAGAATTTTTACCTCACTGGTCATTACTGTAATCTCAAAGCTGAGGGGGAAAGGTGGTTGGTTTTCCAACAGTAAGTAGCTACTGGCCAAAATTTAGTCACAGATGGACAAAAAAAATTATCCTCAAATTATCAGTGCTAAGAAATTACTATTATGTTTGAAATGCGAAACCAACACCTTCAAAGAAATAACTTAAACCTTAGACTCTATAGAAATGAACAATGAAGCATGTCTTTTCAAAAGCTATGTACATTTCAATAATAATAACCTTTGTTATTTCAATAATACATTTGTACATTTCAATAATAATAATAATACCCATGATCCATGTATGCCAATGCTAGCAGGTTTACTACTCTTAGGAGACCCCATCTGGCATAGAATAAACACATGTATCTTGTAAAGGTCAATTATAAATTTATGTATTTCGAATTCTTACCCATTATCACGTAATACAATGATAAGGAAAAGCTCTTTATTAAAAGAGAACAATAAAAGAGGAGTACTGATATCCCCTGAAGGGCATGAGCTCTTATCTGTGTTCCCCTATTCCTAATGCCCCTTATTTTGAGGCTGGGGGGAGAGGGAACCCAGAGCCTTGTGCATGCTAAGAGCATGCTTTACCTCTGATCCACAGCCTCAGGCCCTTGTTTTTAAGATGCCCACCTTCTACAGAGAATGGAGCCTTCTCAGCAGCTAGACACAGGTACAAGGTACTCCACACGTGTTTTTTTTTTTTTTTAAGGTTTATTTATCTTCATCTAAGATGACCACCAGCCTTCTTTTGTCTTTTCTTCTTAAACTTTGCCTACATTTTCCTCTATACATATAAAATACCAACTCAAAAAAGTAGCTAGTCCAAAAGAACAAGCATTTGACTAGAAATGAGGCAGCCTAAGAGGTGCCAGCTGTAATAAGATCCCATATGACACAGGGCCCAGTTCCTTCAGAACAGAAGGAATTGTGTTAGATGAATCTGACATTCTCAGAACTATGGGGATACCTAGACTCCTTACTTCTTGAGGAAAAAAAAATTAGATTTAGGTGCTGATATCAGATGAACCCCTAAAACAAAAATCAGCCTTGCATCTTAGAAATGGAAATGAACTACCTTTAACTAGCTCTTCTGACAGGTCATCTGATCAAATTCTCTACCTTTCCAGAGTGAACAGCTGGCTGCAGCCCTAACAGCACTAGGGTGGGTAGTTAGCCTGAGAAGCAAGCCCCCCCGCCCCCCAGGTTATAA